GGTACTCTGCGTACGTTATATACCGCACTGTGGAAAAATTTGATCGTGAATTAACTTTACAAGACAATAAGCCACAAAAAGACGAGGAAAGGTGCGAAGTGAGGAAAACATTGCAGCTGCAGCGGCCAGTGTTGTCAATGAGACAAATAGACCGCGCACCCCTTATGGAAAATTTTTGATGTGTTGCAGTTCTTGACCTCTTAAGCAATAGGGTCCATGGGATCATTCAAATTCTTTGACTGATTTTTGAGATACAGGGTGTTAAACTTAAGAATTTATTTGATAACGGTTATTTCAGGAGAAAGCTAATCGATTATAATTTTTTGTGCCAAATTATATTGAAACATTTTTGACATTCTACGAATATAAAAAAAGGTCAAAAATTATTTTCCTCAAAAGGGTGAGTCACAAATAAGTAAGGGCTTGTTTTTGATAATTACTTTTATTGTTCTAGAAGGTGAAAATATTTACTAAAAAAAAATTATTGCTATATTTAACATGTCTAATGATAATACAAAAAGTATTAGGTGTCATTTTTACAGAGTGATTTGTAAATATTGACATAGACCAATATATTTTTTTTATAACTATTAATGTAAAACGCAGTATTTTTACAGGACTTTTGTGTATTTACCATATGTATAATTATCCAGTTAATTACCTACAGGGTAATTTAAAAAATATATTGAAAGTTATTTTATCGAAAATGTAGAAAAAAATACTTGTGGCACTCGGGGACTGCCGCGGTAAAGCTATTGCATAGCATTTTTAATCAACTTATGCAATTATAATTATTTATTTATTTTATTTATGCAGTATTTTTTTCTTTGATATTAATTCAAGTTTTTTTTTTTATATTAATTCAAGTTACACTTTTTGAGCGTAGTGACCGATAAGAAAACATTTTTTTTTTCTTTTATTGAATAAATGAGAAGTTAATATTATTTAAAATATTTTTATTATCTTACAATACATGTAGGTTATTTAGGAATTTTTATCATTGAAACTATAGGTTTATGGTAACTGAAATAAAAACATAAGTTTGAGACTTGATATCCCCTAAATATCTGGAAAATACCGCGTCAATGGTGGTCCCATATTTTGTTGTGGATTCTTGTGGATCATTATTCATTTTCAAATTCAATTTTTCCGAAATTGTGTCTGAAAGCAATAGAATCAGTTAGCAGCTAGTCTACACGCATACGTCTAGTCGCATGCACACAAACACCGTGCCGTAGTCTGCCGAACTGAAACGACAATGCACGGCTTTCAACGCCGCACCGCTGTGCCGGTCGGAGTGGGAGGTGTTAGGTTTATTTTCGTTACGGAATTTCTGTTTCGATTTTTTCCGATTTTCCGATTTTTCGATTTTTCGATTTTTCGATTTTTGGATTTTTGGATTTTTGGATTTTTGGATTTTTGGATTTTTGGATTTTTGGATTTTTGGATTTTTGGATTTTTGGATTTTTGGATTTTTGGATTTTTGGATTTTTGGATTTTTGGATTTTTGGATTTTTGGATTTTTGGATTTTTGGATTTTTGGATTTTTGGATTTTTGGATTTTTGGATTTTTGGATTTTTCGATTTTTGGATTTTTCGATTTTTCGATTTTTCGATTTTTCGATTTTTCGATTTTTCGATTTTTCGATTTTTCGATTTTTCGATTTTTCGATTTTTCGATTTTTCGATTTTTCGATTTTTCGATTTTTCGATTTTTCGATTTTTCGATTTTTTAATTTTCGATTTTTCGATTTTTCGATTTTTCGATTTTTCGATTTTTCGATTTTTCGATTTTTCGATTTTTCGATTTTTCGATTTTTCGATTTTTCGATTTTTCGATTTTTTGATTTTTCGATTTTTCGATTTTTCGATTTTTCGATTTTTCGATTTTTCGATTTTTCGATTTTTCGATTTTTCGATTTTTCGATTTTTCGATTTTTCGATTTTTTGATTTTTCGATTTTCCGATTTTCCGATTTTCCGATTTTTTGATTTTTTGATTTTTTGATTTTTCGATTTTTTGATTTTTTGATTTTTCGATTTTTCGATTTTTCGATTTTTCGATTTTTCGATTTTTCGATTTTTCGATTTTTCGATTTTTCGATTTTTCGATTTTTCGATTTTTCGATTTTTCGATTTTTCGATTTTTCGATTTTTCGATTTTTCGATTTTTCGATTTTTCGATTTTTCGATTTTTCGATTTTTCAATTTTTCGATTTTTCGATTTTTCGATTTTTCGATTTTTCGATTTTTTGATTTTTCGATTTTTCGATTTTTCGATTTTTCGATTTTTCGATTTTTCGATTTTTCGATTTTTCGATTTTTCGATTTTTCGATTTTTCGATTTTTCGATTTTTCGATTTTTCGATTTTTCGATTTTTCGATTTTTCGATTTTTCGATTTTTCGATTTTTCGATTTTTCGATTTTTCGATTTTTCGATTTTTCGATTTTTTGATTTTTCGATTTTTTGATTTTTTCGATTTTTCGATTTTTTGATTTTCCGATTTTTCGATTTTTCGATTTTTCGATTTTTCAATTTTTCGATTTTTCGATTTTTCGGTTTTTCGATTTTTCGATTTTTCGATTTTTCGATTTTTCGAATTTTCAATTTTTCGATTTTTCGATTTTTCGATTTTTCGATTTTAAGATTTTTTGATTTTTTCGATTTTTCGATTTTTTGATTTTCCGATTTTTCGATTTTTCGATTTTACAAAAGCGTGAATTATCATAATTCACTCTAGTGATATATGAGTATCATATGCTTTTAGTTAGGAGATAGAATATTGATTTATTATTAAGTGGACGTGGACAAAAATAGGTTTTTTTTATAAAAAGTAGGAGCTAATCTATAGTTTATGACCAGTGTCTATTATTTCTATTATTGCATTTATTTCTGGTATCAAAATAGAAATAGTAAGTTTGATCTCTCCATGTTCGGATTAATTACATCTTCAACTTTTGTTAGAGCTTCCACACGAAAATTTAAAACTTTATTTTCAAAAGTATCATAAAACGGACTTTGAGAGGGTTTATGGAAGTATGTCAGTCTTATTACATTTGTGTTAATTTCTTGTTTTTGATAAGGATTTTTATAGTCGTTAGTTTTGTTAAATGTTGAGGAATCATTATTTTCTTGGAACTGGTATATTTAACGTTAATTGGTAATTAAATGAATTTTCTGGGATACTATTTGATCTATTATTAAAATTGGCATTTCATTAATTTTGACTACTTCAACTGAAATTAGTCGAATAAAAATCAAAATTTGGATTTGTGAATTTACTTGAATTTCGATTAAAATTTTGATTATTGAAATTATATGATTGGTTAAACTGGGGTATCTGAACGAATTGATTTTGACTAAATTATTTTGTCTTGGAAAATTATTAAAGTTTAAATAAAATATGTTAAAATTATTAGAATAAAACAGTTTTTGTAATGATTGTGGTAGTTGCCTTTGCTGAGGCTTTAAATAGTTATTTCTGCTATTTACAGGTTTATAATTTTGGGAATCTAAATAATTACCATTTTGTGAACTATGAAGAAAAATTTTTTCTTCGACTACTAACACCATTGCTTGTTTTAAACTATGTATGTTTCGTAAACGAACATTATTTTCTAATTATTGAACTATGAGATCGTGAATAAATATTTTAAGAACTATGTCATTATAATTTTAAGTCTGTTGCGTTTTTCCTTAAAATTTCCTTAAAATTTCCTTAAAATTTTACGGGTTTATTTTTGATATAATTAAACTTCTAGAGTCCTGGCAATGCATACCAAAACTGCATGGGGGTTCTTTTTTAAAAGGATGTAAAGCAATCAAGTCTTGTACATGACAGTCCAAATTTCTCTGATCACCAAAGCTTAATATTAATATCTATCCAAACAGTTAATTCACTGCGGCATCCTATTAAACTCAAAGCTCTTTCGGTTCATTTGCTAATAAAATATAAGCATTAATTGCAGCTGTATTATTTTTCCGATTATAAAATTGTTTAGTCAAGCTTTCACAAGCATATTAAAATACAGTTAATATATGGGGGTTCTTATCAAAATTTGGAATAGTGTCTACATATAAGTGCAAAAGTGTATAATTAGTTTTATCTGGCATATTTGAATCTGAACTCTCTGAACATATTTTTTTTTTATAGAATGTAAATTACCTAAATTTAATGAGGAATCTCTCCTAAGAATACTATTAAAAATATTCACTAATTCGTCTATCTCAGACATAAAATGTAATAAATTCTCTCAATGTGTTATTTTATCTCAAGAATGCAAATTAAAAATCACTAATATATTCAACTCACAAATAAAATATATAAAATGAAAGGTGAGCAAAATTCCTTACGCACTTCCTAGGATTTTTCGTCATATCAATGAGGCAAAGCGATGCTGTCTGTCCTCCATGATTTTTTAAACTAGCTGGATTTGGCTATGTGGTTCTCGTCCAGGATCTTAAACTAGCTGGATTTGGGGATGTGGTCCTCGTCCAGATTTTCCTTACTTCAGAAATGTTGGTCCTATGCTTGGATGTACACTTTTTGCTTAGTTTTTTTACCAATTTTCGCAATTTCGATTTACCGTTAAGCAATCCTACTGACTGCGCCACTTTTAGGTTTGCTAATAAAAATTCTTTTTTTTTTAAACATTACGAAACTGTACAAAAAGCAGAACTTAATTTTATATCTTTACAGTAATAATGATAAAATGTAAATGCCGGCAACGAACTAGTTTTGTTGCCGCTAAATCTTGGTAAGGTCTTATCTGCGACTTGCCGCGTCTGCATAATTCTAGTTGTGTTTGCTGTAATTGAGTTATCATTACTTTCTTAATGAAAGACCCTTTACTATCGGACTCTCTCTGATCCAATGACTATTAGTTATCATTAGAGCTTATAACTAAGTGTCATAAAATACTAACATGTTTTTTTTTTAAATAATGAAAAGAAATTATAAGTATATAATTACTTTATTTTATAAAAAAAATATATAAGTATAATAGTTAAAACCTTTCATTGCTTAACAAACAATTAAGCATAGCAAAAGCAGTAGATTTTGCAACAGTTTTACATTTTTTGAACAGCGTGGATACTTTATACTTATTGTTCAAGAAAGTGTCCATCATATTTTCCAGCGGTATCTTTTGAATTGTGCCATCCTCGTTTTCTAAGCCTGCTAATTTGAACATGCAAGTGAGGTAATCCTTTAATTTGGGATCGCTGTTCTTTGCCCAATTTAAAAAATCGAGTAATGAAGTTTTGGTCGCTCCAGATTCTTCCATGCACTCATCGTGACCGTCGCCCAAAAGATTTTTTATTGTGTCCCATGCAACTTGACTCACTATGCGCTGAAAAAAGAAATCTGTTTCAGTTTGGGTATTTTGATAGACATTTTTAAATTTTTTTAAAGTGCACTTTTAACCGCCACTCGGAAAACTTAATAGTACCTACATTTAATCACGAATTTTATTTATTTCACTTACACTTTCACTAATATTCTGCGTCTACGAATAAAAGAAAGGATAAAATTATCGATTTTAGAAAACAACTTTATAGGACTGATTGACCTATTTAATCTCTTTAATTACCTGTCACCCTATTTTGAACAATCATGAATATACGAATATACACATACTGGCAAAGATAAAAAAAAAATCCAGTAGAGAAAAACAAAATAATTCCACTAGTATCAAATCAGAATTTTAAGGTTAAACTCCAAAAAACTAAAGAAGGCTGTTTTTGGCAATGGTTTTGTAGGGATGAGTTGGACATTTTTTTTATATATTTTTCGTTTCAAGCTGTGCGCGTTACACAAAAAGCAACGATTTATTTTCATTGACAAATGAGGAGTAGTAAAATGTCTATCAAAAATAGAAAATATATACCTACGATACTTTTTCTAAAACTTAAAATTATATTTAACTTATTAAATATTTTACTTACTCCACTTGCAATATGTACAAGAAAAGGCAAAAAAAGTAATACGAATTTCATTTTGTTAGAAATTGTATCAACAAGTAAATTTAAATCTAATAATCATTTTTAAAATTGTCATTTTTTAGTTAATTAATTTTTTTAATTACAGTTTATTATGCGTTTAATTTAAATATAAAATTATTTAATTATTTGTTTGATAAACCATGTAATGAAAGTAAATTCAAGAGACGCTGAATTAGTAGTTCCCACATAGAGACTGATGCTTAAGGCCAAGTTTTATTTTGAATGAGAGACCGAAAAATGGTGAGAAGTATTGAAACATTGAATTCTCAGTTTTGTGAAGCATTGACGTTACTTAGGTGATGTTTATATTGCTGTCCTAGGTTTTAAGGATGCCACTATGTCATCATATCATCTATTTAGTCCCTTTACGTTACGCATATACCTAGCATGAAAAAATATTTGGGCAACATACCCTCTAAGCTTGTCTATATAAATTTGTTTAGTATCTTTACCCCTTAAGTCTGCCCTTCTAACAAATTCGAACCGTTTACCCCTTAAACCTACTCAATTAAACATGTTTGGCCCCTTTATCCCGTATGTCTATCCATTTTAAAAATATTTTACGGTTTACCCACCTGTATATTTGGGATCTTTATCCCTTAAGCTTCCTCATGTAAAAAAGGTATTTGCCCCTTTCTTTTGTCTGTTCCCAATATCAATTTCAGATAGGAGCTACATTCTCAAATTACTTCATAATCATGCAAAAATCATCTTTTCTTCACCATCATGTATGTTGTTTACGTAATTTCAACTTAAAACTAATATTTGCACTTGATTTATATCACACTTTCTCTTAAAATAAATAAAATCCTATAAAAGACGTTTACAAACTTTAAATACTATACCAAACGTTAAGGAATCACAGCAATTTAATAGTAGTTTACGTTATAAACCCATTACCTGTGTGAGCACGTAGAGATCAGGTAATGCGCGAACATCGTACAACGTTTTATGATATACTGCAATTAACTTTCTTTTACAACCTAAATCAAATTTTCTTGTACTTACGATCTTTGCCCTTAGGCCTCATACCAAATTTGCCAATGTTTTTTTTTTAATTTTAGTTGGTTCAACTTGGTTGGCGGTATCTTCAATACAGGAAATATTCAAGACTTAAAAAATTACTGTCAATGCCCACCTTCCGATATTTTATAATACAAAATCAGTAATTATAAAAGGCTCCACTAGGCCCCAGTCACATTGGACCCGCCTCTCAACAAGTGAAAAACTATCTAATTGTCACTGAGAGTTGTCTAGAGATAGTCATCTTACCAGAGCACTGAGCTCATCAGCAGCAGCAACTGCAATTTTGTAAAGTTATAGAATGCTACTGTCCAACGTTATGCCTTTTTTGGTACTTTCATCAATTGCACTATCGTGGAGGAGGTGTGATGCTACTAAATACACTGCCCTAATTAGGAACATAAGACACAAGGGTTGTGTCATTTTAAATTCCAAAAAGTCCAATAGTTTTTTTATTATTTTGCAAAATAAACAAAAGATATTTATTTTTTCCAAAATAATGTAACAAAATATCTAATTACATTATAAGTGTGATGTTGTGAAACATGTGATGGGGTTTAAATCACCACTATAAAGTTTAACGGCAAATTTAGATAGATCTATACGCTCTGACGGTTTAATAACCACTGAGTGAGAGTGACAAAGAAGACCTCGTGTACTTTAGTTACTAAGAAGTGGGGTAGTGTCAGTAAAATAAAGTTATAAAAAGTTTTAATTTGGTGTATTTTAAGGTACCATTTCGCCGGAGAAGCTAGCTACAAGCTTAGTGTGCATCCACATACTCGCAACAGTTAAGCAGTGATTTCTCCGGTCACGTCGTGGATGCGTGACCGCTGGGAGGTTCCCCCATGGGCCGTATCACTATGGGACTCACCCGACTAGCGGTTAACCACCGACGATGTGGAATAAATGACGATGAATCAGGGAGTGAATTGTTGAATGAGAAAGAAGTAGGACCTTCAAATGGTGGTACAACAAGCTATAGACAGATTAGGGTGTAGCACGGGATATCCGAAGGGTGTAAAAATTAAAAAAAAAGGTACCGTTTCGGTAAGCACGACAAACGACAACAGACGCGACAGACGACAACAGACGCGACAGATGACAACAGACGCGACCGAAAACGGTCTCTTCACGTCTGAAACACATAAAATTATATAAAACACATTTCGCATGGCGCGACACTTCTTGACGACACTTTGGATTGGTCTCCGGGCCAATTAAAAATATACCTGACGCCAATACATTACTTTGTTACTATCAGAATTTAAGGTGAATTTGGACAAATTAAATAAAGTATACCTTATACAGCAGTGGTATGTCCATTTGATATTTATACATTCACTGAGACATGGCTTAATGACAACTTCAATAATGGCGAGCTGCTAAATTTAAATTCTTTTGATGTTTTTCGTTCTGATAGAAAGTATGCTCTTAAGAATAACACAAGAAGTGGAGGCGTCTTAGTAGCAACTAAAAAATATCTTAACGTGTCTCTATTTGATCATAATTCTTTAGTTGGTTTATTTAAAGAAATACCTAATATTGATATAAATGCTATAAAATTAAAGCTAGTTTCTAAAAACATGTATATTTTGTAACAAGTGATGTTGGTTTTACTTACCGTGTTTTAGCTTAATTTTAATTAGGGCCGTGAGTAGCACTTAATAACCTTGACAAAACTTAACTATAGGAAAGGTATGGAGGGCGCCACCAAACTTACATAAACATATCATTTATGGTGAATTATAATAGTTTGGCAAATATAATTAATATGACTGATGTTAAAACAGAATGTATATGTTTATGCAGGCAAGTAACAATTACAATCTACACAAGCCATGATTCATTTAAATTACTTCTTTATTTAATTTTTTAAAGATAAAAATGAAACTTATCTCAAAGGAGGAATGGTGTAGGTCTTCAATCTTTTCAAATAAGGACGGTCTCCTACAGCGATGCGACTTCTTCTAAATATAAATTACCATGTTTTTAACCATAACTTCAACTGTGTTCTAACCATTAATTAACATATTTTCAACTGTCTTCTCAGCGTTTGTTTAAAAAAAATATTTTAAACTATGTTCTCAGCGTAGTTGTAAAAAACCATCCAAAGGTTAACTTATCTAAACGATTGAGACCTTTTTGAAGTTTACGTAATAAGGAAAAATAAGGAACAAGGAGGTAAGATGTTTCTGAACACAGAATGAATAAAAAAATTGATCTTTACAGAAATTAATACACGTTCTAAAACATCTAACCTCACATTTTTAATAACTAAATAAATCTCGATCCATTTCGTTAATCTTTGCAGAAATCTTGTAAATATTAATCTTTTACTCACCATGAAATACTGATGGTTCTCACCACTAATAAAAATACCACATACTGATTAAGATTACTTAAATATTAGCAGATTTAATAATCTCGACTGCCTCGTTCTGAGGTATTATTGTAAAAGACTTTTTCAAGAAATACCTGTCGTAAATTCACTTTCGATCCGAACATACAACTTATAAAAAACAAAAAATAACTATATAAAATATTTGTAGCGAAAGAATGAAACTATCGGTCCTAATCGAGATGGGACAATCATTTTAAAAAATAGTTATAAAATATTAAAAAATAACGGTACTAGAAGAGTAACCGTTACAATTTTTAGTATATATGTTCCACCAAGTACTCATATTGACGAATATAATCAACTATTTGATGCTTTAGAATCACTTTATACAATTTATAATGAATACATTTTAATAGTAGGAGACTTCAACATTCCAGAACATACTTGTTCCATCAAGGGTAATACCTTAGAAGGTAGAAAATCGCAGTCATTAATAAATTTTGTAAACTATCTTAATCTATCACAATATAATTAGTGTGTCAACTTTTATAATAGAATCCTAGATCTTGTACTTTCTAATAATAATTGCAGTGTCTCAAAATCTATTGTTCCACTAGTTCTAGAAGATAAGTACAATCCAGCTCTAACAATTAAATTATGTTTACAAAATTCTTGTCCTTTAGCTTCTTCAACATCTATAACTTTAAAAAATGCAATTTACACTCGTTGTATCTTGACTTGGCCTTCGCCGATTGGTCAATACTTGAACATTGTGACAATGTTAATAAAACTGTTAATTTATTCTGTGATTTATTAAACGACATGTTCCACAGAAATATTCCACCTAAAAAAGTAACCAATCGTCATTATCCTGCTTGGTTTAATGGTTATATTATTTCCCTTATCCAAAAAAGTCCAAGGCCTGGAAAAAATATCGAAAAAGCTGATTATGTCAATTTTAAAAATATCAGAGCGTTAGTTAAAGAGCAAACAAAATTACATTACCAAAATTATATTAGATCAACCGAATCAGATATCGCTCTCGACCCTTCCAAATTTTGGTCCTTCATAAAATCTAAAAAAGGCGAATCTTCAATTCCCAAGACATGAATTTAGATGGTACGGACTATAATGGACCGCAAGAAGTTATCAATGGCTTTGCTGACAATGAAGCTATTCTGTGAAATAAATACAATGACCGACTGTTTAAATCTCCAGCAAAATCTGCTATATTTAGCCACGTGGTGCAAAAATAATAATCTCCCACTTAACCCAACTAAGTGTAATGTAATGTCATTCTGTCGTAAAGAGGCATCCATAATATTAAACTATTCAATAGATAACGTTGTTCTTGAAAGACCTGATTTTATTAAGGATCTCGGCATATATTTTGATCCGAAATTATTATTTGTGTTGCATGTATAGAAAAAACAGTTACCTCTGGGTACCGTACATTAGGTTTTATAATTCGCAACTGTAAACAATTTCATAGCATCGAAACACTTAACCTTCTATTTTCAGCGTTTGTCAGATCTAGGATAGAACATTAGTTTAGTTTGTACCTTTTTTTTAATTTTTTTTCCACAGCTTTAATTCTACAGTACTGTAATCCATTTTTGTGATTTATACTATTTAGTTTTAATCGTAAGTGACCAACCTATTCTTATATCGTTCCTATTGAAATAATTAAGGAATATTGTATTACAGGCCTGAAAATGTCCCTGTGAGGCCGAAATTAGTCTGATGTATTTATTTATAATAAAACTGATGTATTGGTTTGAGGTTTTATTCTTTAATTGAAAAAATTAGACCTTTGCAGAAATTTTGTTTTTTTTTTCTGCATCAGACACACATATAAGACGGTATACACTTTTAAAATAGTAAAATTAACAAATTTTTTAGTTTTTTTTACAATTAAAAGTTTTTGGACAATGTTTAATCTTACAAAGAAATCATAACCACTTAACAATTAGGCATTCCAAACTGAATGGCTACCAGTGGGTTTTGACGGGTTATGATATAGCAAAATTTTGGCAACCCTGTAGGCCTAGTGATTTGACAAGGTCAATGAAATAGATAGTTACATAGATTGATCATCCATATTTTTCAAAATAAACATAAGCTTATGCCTTGAAGTAAAAATGTAAGCAATTATTTTTTTTTAATGTCTAAAGGCTAAAAATTAGTTTTAAAACACATTTTTTCTAAACCGATTCAAATTAATAAATATTTGCCAGGCAATATGGCCACTCGTAAACGACCAGCTTTGAGTAATCTATATAACTATATATGTATCATTGACCTTGTTAATGACAACATGACAACAGGGTTGCCATATCTAAACTGTCATTACCCACTGGTAGCCATTTGGACAGGTCGTTGGAATGCCTAATATGGAAATTTACCTTTCCCCTTGTGTCCGTTCCTCACTTCCTTTACAGATGTTGCGATTACAACATTTGCCTACAAACTCGTTTTACGCTCCCTCTAGTAGTAATTGCTCGGAGCTTGCAACATTATATTCTCTAATAAACCAAATGTCAGAAACGTCATATATATGTCAGTTTAAAACTAAAATTAATTCATACAATTTTGTGTTTATTTCCATTTCTGAATCATTTGTATTTGTCATAAATCCTGGATTTATGAAAGCAGATTTTGCTAATTTAAAAACATTCACGAACGTCAAATAAGGCGTGACAGAACAAAAATACAGAAAACTGAAGCAAACGAGAAGAAAACAAAAATTATTAAAATATATTTGGCTCCGTTGCAACAATGTGTAATTTTATAGGGCAAATTTAGGCGAGAATTTGATCAAAAATGGGGATTAATCAATGTTTTCCTATTAAAATAAACACCATTATTAATTCTGAATACTTATTTGTTATGGATAATATTTATTAATAATACAGGATGCGACAGAAAGACAGAAATATAGTTACTGTTCTTTATGTATTCCATTTATTCAATATTATGAGATACATTATGTGTTTTTTAGCAATAATACTTAAATTATTTTGAAGAAGAAAGTTTATTTCAGATATTATTTTTAATAACTTGAGTTATCTCCAGTATGCAACTAAAAAGTTTTTGGCATAATTAAAGAATTCTATCTCCATAGATGCATATAAACTAAACTGTAAAGTGAAGTTCAAATTCGATGAGAACATGTGAAATTAGAACTGCTAATAATTGACAATTAGCATAGCAGCATTGCAATAATACCCAAATAAAATGAAATATAATTTTACATCTCTGCTGGTTGGCTTTGATACTTTTTTGTTATTCTTTAACACGTTGAGTATGGTGTGGCATTTACCGGATGCCTCACTGAGGCATCAATATGATGTCACACTTGCCACAGTCAGAAAATTAGCAAGGCCGGCGTGGTTTCATAGAACGCCTCGCTATAATGTTACAAACATAGGAGCTCACTCTTAGTCGTCTATAGTAATAGTTTAGCTGGCCTTGAAAATAAGAGACAAAATCTGTGAAGAGGCATAAAAGTTAAAATTAAAAAAAAAAAAAACACATTTGATGTAACCGTTCCAAACTTTGTATATATTGTTTCTGGTAACAAAAATGAAGGATGAGAATGACGTCGAGGAGTTGGATTCAAGTTTTATTAATTTAAAGAAAAAAGGAGAGAAAGGAATGGATGTCGGATTTCCTACCAAGGATATTCTTTTTTATGGTGTTTTTATGGTTTTGCTTTCTTAAGATATCACGCTGATTTAAATCCAGGAGAAGCAAAACGTTTTCTTGGTTCCACTCCAAAATAAATCCTAAAAGCTCGCTATAATCTGTACGATGCTGTATGTTACAAATTCCCTGTCCAGACTGAGCACGTACTGCGGATTGCCTCCCTTTGACGTACCTTCAACAAACGGATCGGGGCGATTTGCCGCATTTACACATCTGCATGCTCATGCGTCCTCGGTGTGCCTCATACGCGTACGTGCTCAGATCTGTACCTGCCTTAACAATGAAAACATTTCAGTTTGCTAAAACTATGAAGACTGCTAAAACATCGTTCAATTTTTCAAAATTTTGTTATATTTTAACTTAGCACCAGGCGTAGGATTTCGAAATGGAATGAGTCATGAGGCATGGATTTATTCCATATTAAGTAGCACAGCATTGCCTTTACTTCGTAAATGTAAACATCCTAGAGTCATGCACGGATCTGGGCCAACTTGCGTCAACACTAATAATCATTTCTTAGGTATCACAAGAGACCTGCGCATTCAGAGTAGGCTGACCTTCTCGATTAATGTTGTCATCTAGATGTAGTGTTAGTTTTAGTATCCCATTGTGGGTACAATTGACTACACCAATTGCTGTCAGAAACTTATACTTCGTTTGCCAGAACACTTTTGCTTCTGTTATTTCTTTGTTAGTAGTTGGAAACTGTATCCATTCATTTGAATGTGCAATTACACTATCAACTAATGCATTCACAGCTTAAAATACGGTAGCTTAACTTACACCAATATTCTTGACCTATACCCTGTTGATAGCCAGGATCACCTTCCCGAGTAAAAATCACGAACAAGTGTACATAAGCGGGCCTATAATCTTACATCCACAATAATATTCGCCATCGCGCTAAAACTCGGATAAAACACCTTTTACTGCAGCGCTGAGTCTGCTATTGATTAACCTGTTTTTCTGAAGGATATGCTTTTACTTTACAAGTACAAGCTTCTGCTTCAAATTATAACCAATAAATGCAGAAGAATGTTCTTCATATTTAGCAAGAATAAGCATATCCTTTGTCCTGCAAAACCTCACAAGTCTAGTTCGATTCTAATCTTCATCTAGATCAGGCCTGCACAACTGAAAGTTTTAAAGGGCCAAGAGAGTCCTGAGCTTATACATTTATAAAACTGGTCGAGGTGGTCTGTTCAGATCCTAAAAAAGTCCTTATTTTATGATTTTATACATCAAGTCCTTCTGTCGAGCTTCTAACAAAAAAAAAATAAAAATAAAAGACTGTTAGGTTATAACGAACCACGTCCTTGAGCTCCTAAGAAAGGCAATTAATACATAAATGCAATTTTGTTACTGAAAAATGTATAGTTTAACGTAGATGGGCCTAACTGGTCAACGGACAAACGGCCAAGAATGCGACAATGGCTGCCCGCATGTATGTTGTGCAGGCCTGATCTAGAGCATTGTCGGTATTTCAAATGCCTATCTTGTACTAAAACAAAATTAAATATTTTTCCTACGACCACTTAGGAAAGTGACACATATCACACTATATAGTCCTATGGAAAGTGCCCTATATCACACGCGTATGAATAAGAATTTTCTTTTCACCCGTGTACGAATATGCTACTTTCCACATCATCTGTCACAAAATGTCAAACGCGTCATTTCTATTTTGATCTATATAATGTCCATATTAATACTAATATCGATATGATTGTTAAATTATTGAAACTGTTGTAAATTAAATCCTAGATATTTATCTTTAACAGTTATTATTAAAATAATTTTAAAATAACTAAGTTATGTTTGCTTTTTATTCTGCTTAAACACAACCGATTAGATCCTTCAATTGACACAAGGTCTATTAGCTCAGATGGTTAGAGTAACAAACTTTATCAACTTTGCTATTTGAGACCTGGCGAGTGACCGGGTTCAAATCCTTGCAGGGGCAGTATTTTTTTTATTTTTTTTTTATTTTTTTTTTTGTTTTTTTTTTAGTTTTTTTTAGTTTTTTTTTGTTTAGGAAATATGAAAATTGAATAAATACGATTATTGTTGATTATTTTTTTAAATACATTTTAATTATTATAATAATAATCTGGTTTTACATTTTTTCAGGAAATTATTTTGTGGTCGTAGGAAAAATATTGTGCATCACTTGTGTGAAAAGTGATTTTATACACTCGTAATGTAATATACTATTTTGTGTCTCTTGTAAAATCACTAGACTCTGAAAATTTTGATAGTAAGTCGACGATGTGCCAACACTACATTCGCCTCATGCTTGTATTTGCGAGATGGTATATTTATATGTTTTAAATTTTTATGGATAAAATTAATATCTGCGCTCTAACATACGTATTTTTTTTATGAAATACATTTTTTGTGGATCACTTCACAAATTGCTTAGGCGACTGGAACGATGCGAGACAAATTTAAATATCTCAAAAAAGTGGCAATGTTATTTCTATGATAGTATCCTTAAGACATCTGTTAAAAATTGATGTATTAAGAAAGTAAAGGAATTGATAGAAAATTTCTACTCTAACAAATTACTTTCTCATATATTTCTTAAGTGTAACGTGTCTTATATTTGAAAAATACCCAGTAAAGAAAAAAAATATATTCAGAGATATACTGAAAAAAAAAAATATATGTAATGAAATCTGCTACTTTATAACTACGGTTTTTAAAATAATTTTTTATGATTTTTTAATATACCTAATAACGAAACAGGACAAATTAATATAAACTAGATGATTCCATTCTTTAAACCTTATACTTTAAGCTGGTACAAGCTAAAAACAAAGTTATTTTAAAAAATCATTGACGCTGCCTCTACGTAAGAAAACAGCTCCACTATTAAGGTATATTGCGATTGTTTATTTTGGGTTAAATAAATTAAATCGCTAGAATTCCTGTTCACTTAATAGACACTCCATAGTTTCAAAAATATTTTCTGGTCCATCAAACTCATTCGTAATACACGAAGCGGCCAAAACTAGGGCTCTGTATTTGTTTTTCAATATATATTCTATAAATTCCTCTAATGGTTGTATTCTCATTTCGCCTACAGCATTTTGAATTCCCAACGTTTGTCCCATACAAAATAGGTATTTCTTCAATTCTGGGTCGCTGGTGTCGCCAACCCTAAGAAACATTTGTAACGCCCTAAAATTTAAATCGATTTCTTCGACGCATTGATTGCTCATGGTTCTGAAATTTGTTACTAGGAAATGCAATGCATCGTTACTTATTATGTTCTGAAAAAGAAAGTATAATGATATAATATTTGGTTAGTAATTAATTTAATTAGGTGCTGTTTTTTTTTTGTTTTCAAAATTGGATAATCAAAGTTTAATGGGAAAATAGTAAAAAAAAATATTGTTGAAAGGAAATGTTTTGGGAAAAAGGAAAAGGTTTTGGTTTAAAATAGATATGACATATTGATTGTTTAGACAGTTCATGTATTGGAGAAGCGATTAAACAATCTTAAATGGAAAGGGTAAATTTATTGAACACAGTAAAAAAAGACGTACCAGATAAAACAGCCAGAAAGCCAGGTTAAAGGTAGATTTGAACAATGTCTAGAAGCAGAATTAAGCATTCCAATGACCTGTCAAAATGCTACCCGTGGGTTTTAATCTTAAAATATATATAATCAGAAACGACCTTGGAATCGCGATGGTATCTAATTTTGAGAGTGAACTAGACAATATGGCGACAAGTGTTTCCGGTCTACCAGTGACGTACTGTTATAAAGGGGCGTAGAAAAGAAAATAATAAATTGTCATTTGCATATTATCTAAATTTACCGATTTATCTTATTTTCACGAATTGCTATTTTCTTGCAAGAAGTTTCCATTTTTTTTATTAACCTTCATTCTGTAAATAAGTTTTACTTTAAAATTGCATGTTGGGTGAGATAAATATAGTGTGACGAAGTCACTAAATTTTATTTTTAATTAATTTTAAAATTGTATATTTTAATTAATTCCCGCCTGAGGACATGTATTTCTGTTTCCCAGGAATTACCGTTTTTCAACAATTGCGAGTACCCTCGTAGATTAAAATATTCCTATATTTGCCGAAATCCGAATGGGCATTTTGTAGAGTTGATTTCGTTCCAATTATCTACTTTTATTTGTTATTAAAAGGACATTTTTTTATTTTTATATTGTAAACATTCAGCTGTAGTGGTGGTATTCCCCACTCCAGTTTACCGGTTTTCAATCTTGCCCAGCAAAAAAGCATAAATTCTGTGAGTGACCGTGATATTGATAGAATACTGAACAACCCCGTTTATTTTTCTAAGGTAGGAAACCGAAAATTATTTTTTTATTCACAATTATTTGAGACACCGGTACGACAAGTGAAAAATGTTTCATTGTATGTAAGATTCTTTTCTTTTATTAATTTATTCAATTGTACTTGAATCATTCCGTTCCCCGTCCACAACTAATTATTGAACGAAGCCCGAAGTTTTCTGTAAAATTAATTCACACACCGTTCTCATTGACTTTGGCAAATCTCAAAATAATCTGTTCTATCACCATCGCCTTCGCTGTCCAAACACCGCGTAAATTCATATCATTCTCACTCGACGAAAATTGCCACTGCCAATCGCTCGAGACCAAGATAAAAAGGGTTTTAAAAACTTTGTACCACTTTACCCAGCTAGCACCGACACGTGATTTTCACGTGAAATACACGGCACATTTTACGTCGAAATCACCAATTTATGACGTGCTAGTGACGTGATTATGACGGCAATATGTCACAGATCAAAGACGTCATACAGTGACGTGATAAACACGTCACCAGATAACGTGTTTAGACGTCAAAAAAACACCATAATATTCATTTAAAAATGTTTAATTTGTAAAAAAATGTTTATAAAAAACGTTTTATTTAAAAAATGTTTAACAAAAATATGTTTTATATAAAAAAAGATAGGTTACTGCATAAAATTTCTGAATTGAAACATAGTATACTAACCTGAACTATTACTAAATAAACATTACTTCTTAGAATATGTACTTAGAATGTATAAATTACAAAAGATTATATAGCAGTGTCCAGATATTCAACAAATCATTCCGAATATACAGGCTTGAAGCAGCTTCAATGGTATCCTTATTAAATTTTCGTTTCACTAAAACAAAAATATAATAGTTATAACTACCAGAAATATATTTAAATAAAATTTGAGCCAAAAAATAGAGTTAGCATTGACCGAGAAAGACAGAAATTTTTTTTTATCATTAAGCTGTCACAAAAGTGATATATTTGATGGTTCACAAATTTAACAAGACAAATAAAATCAGATCTGTCAAGAGAAATCAATGAAAAAATTTAATATGCGCCTGGCTAAAGAGTACCAGATGCTCCTAGCTAACACAAAATTTAGTATTTCTTCATGGGTCAAAAACCTAATATTTTAATAATAATTTTATGATGCTAAGTTTTAAAGTGATGTAAAATTGTGAATTTTAAACCAGGTTAACCTGACTTTTTTATAATTAATGAAATGAAGAAATGTTATCATTTTTACAAGGTATATATTAATAAGAGGAAAAATTATTTTACCCCCAAGCTCTTTTGAATGTAAAGGTGAGATTTTTAATAATTGTGAAAAATAATTATTGACATTTGAAGAAAAAAATGTTGTTCAGAATAAAAGAAATGTACTTATAACATTGTCACAAAAGTATGAATTTTACTCATAATAAAAAATAAGTTTTGCTAGACAAAGCAGTGCTTACCTACCAATAGGTTCATCATCAATAACGAATTCATCAGCTTCACTTGAAAATATTCTTCTTAATGGCTTTCTTTTACAAGGAAGAGGTTGTAACTCATCATCACTTGTTATATCCTATGTCATAAGAACCTTTGTTGCTTTTTGGCTAGCTATTTGGTAATTCTCTAAAACAGATTAATAATTTTATACACTATACTTTTTTAAATAAATAAAACGGCTCACAGAGATGGTTTACGAAATACTATAACTATAATAGGTCTCAGTTACCAACAAAAATTCAAAAAATATAATAGCAAGGTATATAATGCAAAATAATTTCATAAAACAATGTAATTAAAACCACAGTACATAAAGGGAAAGGTTTTAGTAATAATACATAGACCAGTGAGTTTAGTCAGCCTGATTTAGTTTCAATTTATTTCAATGTACCTGTTTATACAGAATAACATAGGCATCAACATTAACATAGTAAAGATAAATAAAAATCAACTTTATGCTCAAATCTTAGGAATGTGTATGTTTAAATTATCTTTATGAACGGTTTTGTTTTAAAATCCTTAAATTTTTGTTTATATTAATGTCTACGTTAATAGTTAAAACAAAATTAGGCTAGCTACAGGCACCTTTACAATATAAAAAAATCACTCACCTTCGGTAAAATATGTTCTATAAATAGGAAAGAGTTCAATTTTTTCCTTTTTTAAGCTCTTGTTAAAAGATTATTGTTGTTTATAAGAATCTCATTTCCCAGGATGTCGGCCACTTAGAACTTAAAGTGGTTTAATAATACTCCGGTGCCGTGCTTGTCGGCGTATTGAATTCCTATAAACATACTAAAAATAAACAATAATATCGCACTAAACTTCCTAACTACTTACCTTCAAAATACATACAAAATCATACAATAAAAGAATGTTCCAAACACAAGTTACAAAAATAACACAAACTGGCGTGAACCGACAATGACATGACAGCTGACATTTCTAAACAGTGTTGACATAAAATTTCATTTAAAAATGAAAATTCCCAAAAATCCCTAGATTTAAAATGAGAATCATAAATTTATTATAAACACTAAAGATACTTTTATTAATAAATAGAATGTAAAACAATAAAGGTATAGAATCGAAGTGTACACGTGCGCAGTTTAACGCCTCATTTCAGAACGTGACAAACTAGTCCCTAAATAACGTCATATTACGTCTTATTTTGGTGTCATAATGACCGCAAAATAAACGATTACCTTCTATTTATCTAATAATGAATAACAAAAACTCGAATTGCATTTATGACATAAATAGGTGTATTTTGTTCGCAACAACTGTGTTTACGTGTCAAATTGGTCCGAAAATGACGTCAATATTACGTTACTTTTGCGTCAAAAAATCACATCGACGTATTTGACCAAAATTCAACGTGATTATGACGTGAAACGACGTCCGGTGCTAGCTGGGTATAGTAGGTTTTCCTTTTCTGAACTTCCATTGTAGGTGGGTTAACTGTGGTAATAGTAAACTTTATTTTCCGTATACAGCAAGTGTCGTAACTACCCGTTTTCTTTTATTTTTCTGAACTCAGTGGGTCAACCGTTTGATTAAAAATTAATTACTCCGTTTTAATTAATTACCCTTTTTTTCGTTTTATTATTTTAACCAGAACATTAAATTTAATTTCTTGTAATTGGGAAAACATACCTTCCATATACCGGGTTGTCCATAATTTCCGATTTAAATATTTTCCCGTACTAGTAAAAGGTAATACGAACTTTAATTTCATTTATTTTCCTACATTTTATTACCGTCATATGCAAATAATTTATTTTTAATAAATTTTCCGAATACAGGGAGCCGTTAATATTTAATTATCATTGGTAATAATTTATTTTTAATCAATTTTCCTAATACAGGGAGCTGTTAATATTTAGTTAGTTTTCAAGTGTAATAATTTATTTTTATTAAATTTTCCGAATACAGGGAGCCATTATTATTTAATTAGTTTTCATTGGTAATAATTTATTTTTAATAAATTTTCCGAATACAGGGAGCCAATAATATTTAATTAGTTTTCAAGTGTAATAATTTATTTTTAGTAAATCTTCCGAATACCGGGAGCCATTATTATTTAACTAGCTTCAATTTTAATAATTTACTTTTAACTATTTTTTTTTTCTGTATGAAGGGATCCGTAATTACTTTCTTGTAATCTCGTTTAATTGTAATTATTCATTTTACTTAATTTTCCGTTTGCCAGAACCGTGCACTACATCCGCTGTAATTTTTGTAAATATATATTTTATTACCTATTCATGTGTTTCTTTTATTGCTGGTTCTTAACCGTTCTCTTTCAGGTTACCGTATGGTACGAGGTGTAAAGGAGATAAGTGTTTTATTTTTATTTATTCTAGTATAAAGGCTACCTAGCAGTGACCGCCTAATAAATATGTTTTGTAGATATGCGTTAAAAAAAATTAAATATCCAATACTTATATTAAGGTGAAACACCGCTGTGATATTTCTTTCTTAGATGTTTTTGTTGGAGTACATATAAAACTTCCTAATATCGAAGAGAATTTCTGATCATTTTATTACATATTATTAGTAATATTTTTTGCATGACAATTTTGCATAAGCAGGTAGAACACCTTTCTAAGAAAGGATCCTATAACGTAATAATGATTATATGAGTGCAAAATAGATTATTTCTAAATGTACATTCAACGCATTATTTTTGTGCTTAGTCCAGTTACGATGAGAGTCAATTTGTACTCTAAGTTATTTGATATCATTTGTAATACTTATATGAAACTTCTGAACGTTACCTTTTATTGTTTCTATAGGAAGGGGCCATTTTTTTGTAACTATATAATGGAACAACATAAGTTTTATCAAAGGTTTGTAAGTTATTATAATTAAACCATTCGAAAATTATTATAAGATCTGTTTCTATTAATAATTTTAATCAATTCCAGTTCTCTGCATTTTACAGAATAACTATATCGTCTGAAAAACTTAAAATATTTCTATCTGTATTTAAACGACAAATTATTTAAAATAAAATTATACAAAATAGGACCTAAGACTGTATCTTGAGACATGCGATATGCTATTTATTTCCTTACTTGAGGTATTGTTAATTTTATTTGTGTTCGTTTTTGTAAATAACTTTGTAATAAATTATATAGGATGCATCACATTCATACAAAAAACTTCTATTATACGAAAAAATCGGCACATAATATAGTTAGTAAAGAATTTATTTACTTATATAATTCAACCGGACCACTTTTATTGTTGGAACAGCTGTTGGCAGAAGTCTTATTCTTGGTTTTAAGGTTCGATAAAAACAATCTGCTTTAAAATGGCCTGAACACAAAAAATTAAGATATTTTGGCTCACAATTTGTTTGTTGCATGAACTCAAGCCACAACTTTGTTTTTTGAGAATCTTTAGGAAATCTGAAAATTATCTACCTGAGATTAATTTATATAATTTGTAAATCTAGATTATTTAAAAATCTAAAAATTGTTTACCTGCAATCAATTTATAAATCTAAATTGAACAATAATTTATTCATTTCAACAACCACATAAATATCTTAAAATTGCATGAAAGAATTGTTTAAATAAAAGTATGTATGTATAAGACAAGGCAGGATAATAAAATCAGAAAGCATGGGGCCCCATGATAAAAGAAAGATTAAAAAAGGATGGTGATGGTTTAATACAAAGGAATGATAAAAACGTTTTTTGTACATTAATAGTTAATAATTTTAAGTGAAGTTAATTTTGCATTTCAGGAAAGTCATTACCCATCAGATCTTCATTATATTGCCATTTATTATTGCTATAGAAATAATCTGTATCATCTGCAAAGCTCAGAATGCCACCTTGAGACTTAATTAAAAACAGAATAATAATAATAATAATATATGAATAAAATGAAGTGGGCCAAGAATAGTTACTTTAGGAACTCCATATCTCACCAGTAAGAATCTACTGTACGTGTTACTTACTCTATTTGTCGTCTATTTAAATATGGTTTAAAGAATTTTAGAATGTTCATTTAACAATAGTCTACTAGTCAAGAGTAACAACAAGTAAAGAATGGCTGACGATATTAGATTTTTAAAGGGTTCAAAAACTAGTAAATGCTTCTGTCAATACTATTGTTAATTTGTGCTGCCATCAGAGCCAATAAGTCATCCTTTGTAGATTTGTTTTCATAAAATCATATTGATTGTTATATAAGAAATTGTATTTATATATATATATATATATATATATATATATATATATATATATATATATATATATATATATATATATATGAAGATAAGCATGTTTGCACCTTCTTAAATACCTTAGATAGACTGAAAATAAGACAAATGCGCTGACAGTTGGTAGGAATATATTATTCAGCTTTTTTTGGAAACGGAAAAGACAATAGTTTATTTCAGGGAGGATAGCATACCAGTTATTTAAACAGAAGTATTTGACAGCTTAGTATAGAACATCCAACAAGGAAAGTGTAAACAAGAAATATGAATATAAATAAATATAATAATGGCGATACTTTTATGAGCTAATACTAATTTTTCGTGTTTACTTACACTAGTTGCAACATCAGCAAATATGAGAAGAAATAAAAAATACATTTTCTTTCAATAGAAAAATGGTCAAACCTTATTATCAAATATATAAAATAATATAACATTTTATACAATCATTTTTCAATTAAAATGTTCCAATTGTTCGATCAGTCTCATAATTTCCATAATTAAAATATTAAATTAAATAATTTTATGGAATAACGGTTGGTTGACTCTTTAAAATTATTTTATCGTTTGATTGTTTACAGCCAACATAATAATCGTTTTTAATTTAGTCAGGTTCAAACAAGGTACTAGAGTTACAGAGTGGCCCAATAAGATGGAGAGACAATATAAACTCCAATGCAGGGTTAAAAATATTTTCACATCAGTCTGATTAATTAAAACTAAAGTCAGAATCATATCTGTTTGGTGATATAACAATGGAAGCAATTTTCAATCTCTCCATTATATGCTCATTTTTATACCATTGTATCCCCAATATTGTGAGGTAATGATTCGGAGTTCTTCAGTCTATAGCTTTGGACCACATGTTTCTACAAGCCCTCGTTGTCTTCTGATCCCCAATATGTCTATAATAATGATATAATATATTGAAATGGATTATACAGAGTGGGAATGATCAAACTTCAAAATCAACAATCGAAAATAACAGAATGTTTAAGAGGCACATTTTATTTTACTCATCTATAAAGACAGAAAATACTTCTGTCAGCCATAATGGATAATTTTTGACAGGTATGCCAACACAAAAAAAATAATACGATTAAAATCAAACATTTTTAAAAAATTGGCAACTAATCTAATAAAAAATAAAAGAAATTATTTAAATTTTACTCTTGAAGTATTTCAAAACGTATATTAAATTTACTTACCTAAAATTCGCAAACTTGTAATTTATTAAAGTCAGCTAAATTTATCCTATTGGTCAGAATTTTCTTCCTAGACACTTTGATGAAAGATTTGAATCTAATTTTTTGGTTACCAAGGGTTTTGTTGAAAAAACAAAAAGTAGCTTGAAATTGAATTCCCAAAGGAAAAACTCTGTTCTTTCCTGTTCTGAAACATTTTAAATTTTTAAATTTTGTTGATCTAAGAAGTGGAAATAAGAAAATAACAAACATGGATGAAAAACAAGATACTGAAAAAATACAATCAAAGCAAGAAGAAGGCAAAATGGACGAGAATAAAGGAACCCAGACAGATGAAGGAGATAATGCAGAAGCTGCTATAAAGGAAACACCTCGAGAACAAGTAGAAACCGAAATTAATACACATGAAAAAGGTGATTCAAGATCTCAAGAAAAGCAAGTGACACAAGAAAAAGAATAGGAAGGGAATAAGATAATGGAAATGTTAAAACAAATGATGCAGGATATGAATAAGAATACAAAGAAATTAAACAATGGATAAGAAATTTGAAAAAATAGAAAATTTACAGAAAATTGCAGAACAAAGACTGAATGAACAAGAAAAGACCATAGAACAAACAGGAAAAGAGATAAAAAAGACGAATGCTAACATGAATCAAATCAGCAGAGATATACAAAGATTAAAAGAAAATATAATGGAACGATTACAAACCTATGGATCAATAGCAGAGGAAGAAAACTTAAGAACAAAGAAGGAAATTAAAAAGGATGTACAATTATTAGAGGAAAGATATGAAAACAATATGAAAACTCCATAAAATGATTATGAAGAAGATTTTGAAAAAATGGAATGAAAGATAAGGGAAACTTTTAATATGACAGAGGTAGCAAATGAAAAAATAAGACAGCTCTTTCAAAAAGAGACAAAACTATTTTCAAGTGACCTAAGAGAGTCGAGTGAATATTATAGGATAGAAATCAAAAAAATTAATGAGAAAATCGTAGAAATTAAAGAAAAGGGAAAATTTGATACATGAAATAACTTAAATATAATATCCAACATACACCACTACCTCGAAAATAACATTAAATTTGACGGTGACATAAGAAAGTTGCATCCAAAAATCTTTGAAAAGATATGGAGAAGTGAATTTGGAGAAAAGAGTGACTCAGAAAAATGGAAAAAAATTATAAGAAACAATTTGGCTGGACAAGCTCAACTGTGGTTTTCTTGCGTAGAAGAGGGAATAACAAGTTTTGAGGAATTCAGGCAGATTTTCATGAAACAATTTTGGGGAGAAATGCAACACGGATATGTTAGGGAAAAATTATATTTTGGAAAATACAACGAAAGAGAAATAACTATGACAAATTACATATTTCAACTCTATACTCAAGTACAGCATTTGGAACCTGCATTAAGAGAGAAAGAGATAATAATGTACTTAGGCAGACATTTTAAAACAGCAATATCAGAAACAATAGGCATACAAAATAATAAAACATTTACAGGTTTAACAAGTTACATTATGAGATTAGAAAAAAGTTTAAATGACAGACAGGGAACGTCAAGAAATAATAAACAAGGTATGAATGACATTTATCAGAATAAAAGAACACAAGAAAATAATAATGACAATAATAGAAATAGAAGTAATTACAACAATAGAGGATATAACTTTGAAAATCAAAATTATCAAAGTAACTATAATAGAAATAACTGTTGGGTACTAATTAACAGTGCTGTTCCTAAAGTGGCGCTGGGAAACAGTAACAAAGCCTACACAGAACACGAGGCTAATAACCATAGCAGTTGATGCCGATGACAAAAAAAATTACAGTAACTTTAATAACAATTACCCACATTTAAATAGAAATAGTTACAACAATAATTATAATAATTACAGATATAACAATAACCAAAACAACCAAAGATTTAATACAAATAATAAAAACAATTATCAAACAGGTAAGAAACGCTGGAAACATTTCTCAGAATTAAAATGTTCGACGTGTAAATTTCCAGACGATGAGAAATTGGGACGAAAGAAACTATACGAACACGGCTGGTCAGGAAATGTCATCTTCCATGGATTGCGGCATAACATCCGAAGAAAATCCGCAGGATTTTTCTTATTGGATGGCATTACAGGAGGTTTGTGCAGCTGTATCTACCCGAGGGTGTTTTTTTTTTTTTGCTTGGGCACTTGCCATTCAGCCAGGCCCGAGGGTGTTCATTGACGTTATTGATAATCTGCAACAAGAAAATAATAATAATAAAAAAAAAAAAAAAAAAATTAACTAAAATGCAGATTACAAGCTATACAAAATTTAAAAAAAAAAAAGTAACTTTAATTTTATTATTACCTATCATAAAAGAGGAATATTAAAATTATTCATTATAAAATTCATTGAACTTTTCTTGTTGTCCTACAAAATAAAAGATTAAACAAATTTTAAGGAATGTGGAAATGGATTATACAGAGTGGGAATGATCAAACTTCAAAATTAACAATCGAAAATAAGAGAATGGTTAAGAGGCACATTTCATTTTACTCATCTATAAAGAAAATACATCAAACCGAAAACACATCTATCAGCCATAATGGATAATTTTTGACAGGTGTGCCAACACAAAAAAATAATACAATTAAATTCAAAATTAATAAAAAATTGGCAACTAATCTTATAAAAAATGAAAGAAATTATTTAAACTTTACTCCCGAAGTATTTGAAAACGTAAATTTGCAAACTTGTGATTAAATGAAGTCAGCTAAATTTATCCTATTGGTCAGAATTTTCTTCCTAGATAGTTTGATGAAAGATTTGAATCTAATTTTTGGGTTACCAAGGGTTTTGTTGAAAAAACAAAAAGTAGCTTAAAATTAAATTCCCAAAGGGAAAATTAAGTTCTTTGCTGTTCCTGAAACATTTTAAATGTTTATCTATTTTATTAAAAATACACACAGAATCAACTCTAAAAGCAAAAGTGAGTTGTAATAAGACATCTAAAATATAAGTGAACTTAAATACAGTGAAACGCTAGTATTAAATTGAAATTTATGAAAATATACCTGTGTAACCAAGCAAGCAAATCCATAGCAACGAATGAGTGACATAGCAGCTCCTGACGATGTTTCAGTGACTCAATATCCAAGGAAGCGGCCCACACAAACCCCATGAACATGTTAACATAGCCTAAAAAATATCAAGAAGATAACAAACTTTCACGAACACGAACACTACCGAAAAAAAAAAAGTATAAGACATTATTAGACTTCTAAAATTAAACAGTCACTTACTATTTCTTTTAATTTCTTGTTTATTTCAATTTGTTGATTAAAAATCAGCTGATAACGGCCAGTGTTTACTATAAATAACTTGCAAGACAAAACGAATAGTAGAATGAACAAATCTGTCTTCTTTCTTTTAAAACGTGACAACAGATCGCAATTACCCTTCGATACCAATCAGACAAGCTTTTCTTGCGGCCTCTGCAAAACCAAACCAAAAACTTGCAATTTATTTAAGTAGTTATCTTCTTTAATTTAACTAGTAAGTAGTTTTCAGTATGAATGAGATTTCGTATAAATAAAAGGTATTTTATTAAGAATTTTTATAAGCTTGATACGTTTAATACTTTTCAATGATTATTAGTTGTAATAAAAATGTGTTTTTCGTTAATTCTGTGTTTAATAAATTACAATTTTTTCTTTATCGCATAAGCAGTGGCGCCGGGCATAAAAAAAATTTAACCGACCACCCCCCTAGGCCTCCCAGCCAACGCGACCCCCATTGAACCATCGCTAGGCCAAGTCGCAAACCACTTAGCCGAGTTTCAATTGACCACCACTAACAGGTGGTGCCAACTAGCGGCGACTTTGGAAGTAGTGTCCTGAAAGCCCCACATATCTTCTACTCTTTCTGTTATTTGTGATAGAGAATTAATGATTGGGGTTGTGTATGAAGATACATAAAATATAATTATAAAAATTAAAATAACCCGCCTACGCAAACTCCATATCAATATATTGCCAATATCATAATCCACTTTTGGCACAAACTCCTCGTTGCGGCACTACTAAGTATGCGCTTTGAGTCGTTTTCGGACGATGTTACGATTAAACAGGGCCGGATTAATTTTCAATGTTAAAATTATTTCTTGCTTAAGTAATACGGAGTTTTGATTTTTACAAATATATGTTACGTTTAGCATTGGTCTCACAAATAATTTTAATTACTAAAATACAGAAGTAAGTATATAAGGAAATGTTTTAGTAATGCCTGATTTTGTCAACAATAACTGAATGGATTAAAACACGGTAAATGGAAAAAATAAATGGCGTAACTGCACTGAAAAATAACTATTCAATTATTATTAATTTATTTCAGATAAAATACGTATATCGACAAGCAAATACAATAATTTTTTCTCAGTGCAGTTTCACCATTTATTTTGCACCCGTCTTGTACCTAGTACTTACTTACTTACGCGACTATAAAGTATATTATTAGTGATGGAAATGAATCACCTTAGAAAAAAAAATTTCTGATAGGTATTCCCCTAACAATTTTAGTTTGTGCTTTGGCTACATTGAAAAATTTCATTCGACAAAAATTTTTTGTTATTAACTTGAATATTTTCATTCTATGTCTCTCTTCTTCTACAGAATAACTGAATAAATGGTCGTCATATTAAGGTGTTCATTAATAATTTTAATAAAATTGGATAGGGAGGCATCATGTTATTAGTAAAGTGTTGACTGCAAAACACCCAGAATAAAGTTTATTGTTTAGTAATTTTATATGTTTCTTACATTTTTAATAATTATTGTCTAGATTAATTCATAGAAATTTTATTGTATTTGTCCACTCAATGTTTAGACTTCCTATAGGTGTCACTTCTGTGTTATAAAATGGGAGTGTCATCAGTAATTAGAGTGGAAGTATTTATAATGTTAAGTTGAAAGGCATTAATATAAAGAAGGAAAAAAATGAGACTCAACACAGAACCCTGAAGGACTCTCCAACTTATGTCTAAAACTTAAGAGAACTACATAATGACTCTTACCATTAGCTTGCTTTCTGACAGACAAGATTTTGTCATCGCTTCGATTCGCTAAACTAGAAATGTTTGCAACAATACTAAGTAATTAAGGTAGTTCACTCGTAAAACGGCCTTTCTTAAGAATTCAATAAAATTGAAATATGAGGTTAATGAAAGTGTCTTTTATGTACCTAAAAAAAATAATAATTTTTGACCGTGTGTAAAACGAGATATTAACAATTAAAATGTGCATAATTACCACTCTTGAAGCCCTGTCATGTATACAATAATTGCATTTATTTCAAGATATCTCGAAAACGGTTCTTACCATATTTTTTAAAAACTAATGTAATGTAAATGAAGAAGTTATAAAATTTTCTAAAAAAACGCTGAATTTTTTTACCGTTTTGATAAAGAAATATAGATTTTTAAAATAAAAATGTTCTTAAAGCAGTCGACGCATAGTGGCGTATTGTGATTACAACTTGGCAACGTTGTAATCGATACACTCAACGCCCGCTAATTCAAATGTCTGTTAGATGATCAGTGCTTCCCAACCTTTTTATTGCTGCGGACAAGTCAAGTTTATCACTTTATCGAGACCTTCTGGAAAGGGACGTTGTTTATACTTTAGGTTGATATGATTTAACAATTTAAATTTAATTGTATTTAAACATGTCTTCAAAATTAAATATATATGCGAAAGATTAATATAATTTTATTTAAACATGCCTTCAAAATAAAATACAGTTACACAAAAAAAATGAATATAAAGTAATTTAAAATTTTAACTTACTAGTATGAGGAAGTCCTAAAAAAATACAAATAAAAGTAATGATTTTCTGTAGTATTGATGATATCGTAGGAACGTTCATGACAGCAAGAAATTTATTTAAAGCAGTTTGACCAAACCCTGAATGGACAGCACCTTCAAATAAATAAAATTATATTAATTATAATAAAAAAATCATAAACATAACAAATACTTATGTATTTTTTTTAAATTTACCTAGAACTGCTTTAGTGTTAACATCTGAATGCTTAACTTCACTTTTTGTTGAATGAACTTTGTCCGTAGGTACTATAGTTTCAATATTACATTCAATACATTTAACATTTAAAATTGAATAAAGGCCCTTTCGTGTTTCATTTGTAATATTTTCAAGAGAAAGAACTCTTTCACACCAGCAACATTTTAAATGTTTTCCCAACTCTAGTAATTCCACGATGCGACCACTGCACATGTTATTTTTCAAGCTTGGGGTTTCCTTTCTCAATTTTTTTGCATTATTCATAGCCAAAATTGATTTTTTGCGTTTGTTGAGGACGTTCTGCTTAACAATTTTTCCTTTATCTGCAATTGATTCTGACAATGAAACATTTTGATATTTACATTTATTTTACTTTAGGAATACAGTTGACGTTTCACAATATATTTGCGACGTTGCCGGATGGATTTTACGCAATATAATACCATATTTGTGTATAGGATCACGTGTTGTGTGTACAGTCTGCTACAAAAATAACCTTTCTTTAGATTTAAGAATCTTGAACGGTTGGTATTCACTATAGGGCACATACTTTGATTTTCTTTTACTATACGGAGAATGGTCGCACTGCGCAGCTTTCTGAGTGCCTTTTAAAAGGAGATAGAAAACTCCGCCATTTTGAACCCTTATTACGTGTTGCCTACATCTTGGCGCAATATTTTTAATAGGTGCGTTTTAATCATCCGCTTCTACTTCGGAATTGTCGGTTTTCTTGTTTTAATCTGACAGGTTAGAACGACTAAACCGACAATTCCGGAAGCAGAAGCGTATGATTAAAACGTACCTGATATTTTGCTTGCTGCTGTCAGTGTCAGTGAATATTATTTTTGAAGTCACAGTTTATTGCTAAAGAATCAGTTAGCTCACTCGGACCAGTTGAAAATTCCAAAATAACATCCACTCCAGGGATACAAATTCAGGATACGCAGAAGACTGCTCTTTTATTATAGGAGGTTGTCATATATTGTATTATCCGAGTTGCACAGTGTATAAACAAAGTGCCGACGCAGAGTGAGCGATCTGATTCTTTAGCTGTAAACTGTGTCACAGGGTTCAAAATGGCCGCGCCCTATGTTGGGCGTGTCGGACCTCTCTCTTGTCTCGTATAGTAATCAAAGTATGTGCTATAGGGCGATATTTTTGTGTACGACTGTCGCGAGTGAACTACCTTAACACAATAAAATACCTTAGTCAAATCATAGAATAAATCCGCTACAGTTTCGTTTAAAGTAATAATTTTAGAGCAAGCGGGTTTAAGATTAGAAAATATCGTCATAGAAAACAGGCAGGCGATCGAGTCCTGATCTCCGAGCAATTACTAAATAAATTTAGGCAACCAGTAATGCATATGTGTAGTTTAAGTTGTATTTTCTCCAAAAACCATGTAATGCCACCATGTAGTGCCGTTAAACATCGTAGAGCTGTAAAATACCCTAAATCAATTCTATAGGATTGAAGATTTAGTGGGAAGGAAGTAGACGTAATACCTTATGTCCAAATTGTTCAGCTGACACACATCGCACAACATTATATATGGTGAGTGACTAGGCTATGTTCTGATTCGTCAACCATCCTTGAATTTAATGTTTTATGTGCCAATGTGCTATGACATGAACAGTGGCGGCTCGTGAGCTGTGAAGGTGGGGAGACGCCAACTGGCTTGAAGGTGGGGACTATGGAAAATTTGTTTTTTTATTTTTTCATTAATATAGAAAAAATACCACACTGCGCACTGCGCCTTGTCAATAGTCAATAGTGAATAAACAAAATGCTTATATTAACGTCTTTCAAAAATATTTATTCTAAAAAAAAAAGAACAAATATGAAAGTTCAATAAGTAAATTGTTTTAATTTTTGTTTTTATGAGAGTTCATGGCATTACTCACTTCCTGCAATTAAATTAAAACCTGGTCTACGATCCTTCATTAAAATACACTTTTGCATGAAATATGTTGAAAATATTTATCATCCAGAACTGAATTTCGATTTATTGATATCACAGCTAAGTAAGGATGCCTCATCAGTTTGGAAACTCTTTAAAATTATTAATATAGCAGGGCGTAAGTAATTTTTTGATATTTTTTGGGATGATTTGAATAAAAAAAAACACATTAATATCTTTAAATATTTTTATTTATGAGAGAGATTATTGATTAGCAAATGTTCAGGTTTATTTTTTCTTCTTTTGTTGTTTGTCAAAATATCGAGACGTCAAACAATTAATCGTTCTATAAACATTTGTAATACCATCGAGCCTATTATAAAGGCATTCATCAATCATATGATCAACGTCCTTACCAAAAATCGGATAGATATTCATAACATTTCTGAGAGTATCTATTACAAATTTTCCATTTTCGTCTTGTACACCCAATTCTTGACTTACGCAGTATATATATCGCAAAGCTTTAGAACTATATGTCAAATTTCCGAAATAAATGCCATCGATAACGGATTTTGTTAAATGTAAACGTTTCTTACATTTTTCACCTGCATTTTGAAGCTTTTTTTGAGGATTTGCCTAAAAAGGTACAAAATATAAATTAGTAAAGAGCCGTATAATTTAATAATTTAAAAGTTACATTTACAGATCCTTCACTTAATACATATAAGAGAAATAGAGATAAATATGGTTCTTTTTGAAAAATATTGATAAACTCAAGAAAAAGCATGGAGTTAGAAGGTAGGGAGACGCTATAAGCATCAAATATTTAAATGGGTATCAGTGGGCGTGGCTTTTGTAAATCCACCATAACTCATGAACCGATAAACAGAAAAACACCAAATTTTAAACTTTATTAAGCTTTATTCTAGCGTCTAATGAACTGATTGGATTTTGGACAGAGTCGAAACATCTGGGGGGTACTTTATAGGTGGTCATTTTTATATTTTATGCAATATATCTGTTATTTAGGTTTGGAAAAGAAAATTCTTTAAATAAAAGGTACTTATAATATTATTAACTATAATTTTTGTCTTTTACAAAATTTTCTTAAAATGGTCCGTATTCGAGAAATTTGAGAAAATGTAAAAAAAATATTTTTTTATAAAAATCGTTTAAACAAAAGTTGTTTGTAATATATTTCTCTACAATTTTTATTTAGTACATAATTTCTCTAAAATAAACCGTATTCGAGATATATGAGAAAATGTGTAAATTTCGAATTTTGAAGAAAACTCAAAAACGGATAAAGACAGAAACATTAAATTTTAACTTAGGTTCTATTTCAGCCTGGCGTGAAATGATTAGATTTTGGACAAACTCGGAACATTTTGGGAGATACTTTATGGGAGGCCGTTTTTATATTTTATGGAATATATGTTATTTATGTTTGGAGAAGAAAATTGTTTAAATAAAAGTTACTTCTAATATTATTATCTATAATTTTTGCCTCATGTCAAAATTTCCTGAAATGGTCCGTATTCGAGAAATTAGACAAAATGTGCAAAATTCTGATTTTTATGAAAACTAAAAGTTGTTTGCGATATCAATCTCTATAATTTTTGTTTTTACATGATTTTTCTAAAATGGACCGTAATGGAAAAATTGTAGGAAAAGTGCAATTTTAAATTTTTAAGTATTTTCGTTTTCAATGAATATCTATAGAAAAATGTTTCGAGGTAGATGTATGTGGAAAATGTATATATTTATTTTATCCTCTAAACATTTATAGAGGTGCTGCAATAGGTTGTACAAAATAACCGGAAAAAACCTATAATAACTAGATAGGAAAGTCATGTGTTGGACACATTTTTTCAATATATTCAAAGGCTGGAAATTGGTTTTAAAACATATTTTTGCTAGACCGATTCAAATTAATAAATACTCGCCAGGTAATATGGCCGCTCAAAAACGACCCGCTTTGAGCAATCTATATAACTATATAAAGGGTGTTTCATCTCAGACGAGCCAACCTGTATATTTCTTATCCCATAGTAATTGGAAAAATTTCCCGAAACACATCAGATGATTTTCTTTGAGGGACATCTTTTGACGTATATTTAAGGCTTGAACGAACAACCCCCCCCCCCCCTATAAGGGAAATTGAATAGGGAAGGGGAGTTGAGTGATACTTCATTTGTAAGGCCTTGGAAGCCTCTTTAGAACGGTATATGCAAAAAATCACATTTTAAAAAAAAATTAATTGTTTAATCATGCTTACAATCAAAAAAATCAAAACTTAATGAATTTATAAATCAATTTAAATTTGAAAATAATACTAATAGTAATAATTATGATTTAGCAAGTTGTGAATCTCCAGAAATATATAATTTTGGAGCGAGGATGACTAAGAACTTGGCGGATATGTTTGTTTGTGGACAGTAGGTAGACTTTTTTACAAATAAAATGTAAAGAGGAAAAAACTTCAGTTTTTTCTTTTGGCCTTTTGCCTGTAACCTTTTTCATATTAACTATTTTATTCTAAATTTAAATTTTAATATATTTTCCACAGTCACCCTCTATTTGTATTTTTTTTAAATTTTTAACTATTTTGAACTTGTTTCAACTGTACTCAATGCGAATAGTGAAGGTAGTATAATTCCTTAGTTCCACACAAGGTAACTTGCTTTTGGAGATCAGATATGATTTTTTAGGGGCTTATTCCACGCTCACTATTCCCAACACTGAGTTATGTCACTATGTGTGTAATCTTTTAATTGTTAATTTGTTTAAAATTACCTTATATATATATATATATATATATATATTTAACTTTTGACTTAAAAGTCTTACTCAGATTTTATTTTTACACATAATATTCATAAATTGTAAGTTTACATCCACAATTTTTGTAGATAAGCACTAATGATGGTACAATGCCGAAAGGCTTTGCATTTATTAATTAAAAAGTTTTGCACGAAATACAAGTCTTTCCTTTTTAATTTTTTTTAGTTTAGTAATATACTTAAATTTATAAAAGATAAGATTTCATTGTTTTTATTTTTTCTCTTGATTGGTAAGAAGCATTTAAAAAGCCATTTATTGCTGAAAATACTTATATTTTTTGTCATTTCCTCGTTTAGTTTATATAAATCAAAAATAATTTTTTGCTAATAATGCTTTTATAAAAAGAAAAAACAGATAGTTCTTTAAACATCTACATGTGTAATATTTAGTTGGACATATAAACTAAATATAATTGAAAGAACAAACGACTTACTTGTAAGGAAGTGGATAGTCGTCCAAATAGTTAGGTCCCAAACTCATGTGTCAGACGCACCTACCCTACAAGATTTTTTTTGTTCTCTTTTTACACTTATTTTCTTTTCATGCAAAATTGCTGAATTGTTGTGTTTAAATACAAATATGAAAGTTATATAATTATGTGACATATGTTAAAAAGGGTCATTGGCTTTTTTTAGGCTGTGGTTAATTTAATATTTTTTCCACACCCACATGCATATTAGCTTATCTACGCACAGATTACAAAACGAAAAAGTATGCTATTGTTTTCAACTGAACGAATATATTTATTATCTATTTTAGGTAGTGAGAACACTGCAAAAAAATTAAATCCACTAATCACAGTATTAATTTGTTAATTTAAATAATACTATATGAAGTCAATTTAATTAAGAGTACTAAAGCAAAAAAAATAAACGCGCAGATAGTCCTGTGGTCAGCGTTCTTGCATTCCATACGGAAGACTCGAGTTCGAATCTCAAATGGAGAAAAATAATATGAAATATTTTTTTTCTTGTTTTTCTTGTTTTATAAATTAGTAAAAGTAATAAATTATTTTTAAATTAATTATATTATCTTAATAACCTAAAATAATTTTTAATATTTGTAGATTTTCGTTAGTGGGTCGTAGAAAAAATATACTATCCATATCGCACCCACACAATTGAGCACTCCGCCTACGGCGTCGTGCTTAAATTTTACTACTTTTTTGTTTTAAACTATTTATTCTAGGCAAGATATGATGCTTTAAACTATTTTGAGTCTTCTTCTTACATATCTTTTTTTTTTCATAGAAGCTATAACACGTCAACATTTAAAAAATATAAATACTTTTGTCCACGACTGTTCTATAAAACATTCATTATACTTGTACTTCCTTAAGAATAATAATAATAATACCTATTATTCACTAGTGAATAATGATCCATTAGTCACGACAGCATAAACTGATATGAAAATATTCTATATAGGTACCTATTGTTTGTTCAGTATTTTTATTTTTAGGTTTTTATTGTTTTTATCTGACAGCAAATATTTTAGGACAAAATGTTATACTATTATTATAGTGCCAAATTTATTTAATCTAATAAAAAGAAATTTACATGTCTCAAAATAAACCTAAGCTCAAAAACATATCTACGTTACTATGCGTGATCAAACAAACATCAAACTTACCAATTGAATTTTATTTTGTTAAATACTTATTATTTAGCACTCCAAAATTACAAACAAAACTGCCAAGCATTACTCAAATTTTCTGTTTTCCTGGAAATAAACCGAGAACGGAGGCTCCAACATTTTACATACACATATTGGGTCCTATGATTGAACGTTTATGTTATCCATAACGTACATGTTAGGTCGAATTTTAATAGTAACGAAGCAAGTTTGTATGATGGAAAACTGTTACATTAGAACATAACAGGCGGAAAATAACAGTAATGTGTTGGAAACCGTTTTTCATCATACGAACTTGCCTAATTACTGTTAAAACTGAGCCTAACATGTACGTTACGGATAACGTAAACGTTCAATCATAGGACCCAATCTGTACCCATAATTCTGTATATAAGATTATAGGCAACACATATTACGTAGGTGTACAGGTGGTAGTATGGGTGTACTAAGAACGTTTTGCTTTGAACGCACGTCGACGCTTAGATCATATTTAAGGCTGAGAAACGTCAAATCCGTCAAATCACATCAATTTGAATTTGAAATTAGTAATTTCTGTATGTTTGAAATTTGAAAAAATTAAAAATGTTTCAAAATATCGAAGAAGATGCAAAATTGGTGGCTTTAAATTTATTGCCTGAAAAATCTAAAAAACGTTATACCTCTGCGTATGAATCTCTTATGAAATGGAGAATTGCCAAAAAATCAGAATCATTCTCTGAACCAGTCTTATTGGTTTATTTTAATGAACTATCAAAAATATATAAACCATCCACGTTATGGACAACCAATTCAATGCTGAGAAGCACAATAAATTTATATAACGGTATTAATATTGAAGGATATAGTAATTTAAGAGCACTGTTGAAAAGACAGTCTGAAGGATTTAAACCAAAAAAAAAGCTGATACTTTTTCTCCGGAAAATATAAAAAAATTTCTTATGGAGTTAGACGACAATAAATATTGTTTAAATACTTTTGTGCAAATAATAAATATTTTAGGTAGCATTGATAATGGGAGCAATGGGTGCTTGTCGAGCTAACGAAATGTACCTCATGAATCTTGGGGATATTCAAGATTTGAGTTCAGCTTTTTTAATAACTATACCAAATACAAAGACAAAAATTGCACGAAAATTTACTGTAACCGACCATTTCTATGAAATTTGCAAACGATACATAAACCTTCGTCCTCCTGGTTGGAATACCTCAAATGCAAATGTCTTTTTTTTAAACTTCCAGAATGGGAAGTACACCTCTCAAAGAATTGGGATTAATAAATTTACCCAAATGGAAAAAGACATAGCTAAATTTTTGAAATTACCCAACCCAGGAAAATATTCTGGGCACAGTTTCCGCAGATCTGCTGCCATTATATTAGTCGACGCGGGCGGGGATATAACCGCGTTGAAAAGGCATGGGGGTGGAAGTCTACAGCGGTAGCCGAAGGTTATGTTGACGAATCGATGAAAAATAAAATGGACACGGCTTCAAAAATATCTAAATCCATTGAATCATCTCGTTATAAACAGCAGATCGCATCTACGAGTACATCTACTAAGCATATTGCATATACATCTAATCATCAGCAGATCGCATCTGCATCTACATCTATCACCAACCAAATTATCAATGTATATAGCTCAAATTCGATCCCTAATATAACTTTACACAACTGCGTAAATGCAAATATTACTAATAATATAAGTAAATAAACTATATATAAGTTAGGTACCTAGTTAGTTAGTTATTTATTTAATTAGTTAGTTAGTAGTTAGTTAAGGTATTAGATTAATTTTGTTAATATTTTCATAAAAAAAATAGATTTGTTATGATTCTTAGTTAATTTCATTTAAAAGTCGTGGACAAAGTATAGTATTCTGCTCGCATATAATGGCTATTATTCACTCAGATGATTTGCAACACTCTCCTACGGCTCGTGTTGTAAACTTCATCTTCGTGAATAATAGCTACCATTATATGCTCGTTGAATAATATACTATTATATACAGTGTTAGTATTTGGTTTAGTATTTTAGACAATATAAACTTAGACAATTTCAGTATACTCACAAAAGCTGTTGACAATAAGAGACAAATCATAAGAAAACGTATTTTATACATTCTTCCGCAATTCGAAAAATAGAAATGAGTGTAAAAGTTTATTTTACATTTATTTTTAAGTTATAGGCGAATTAATATTAATGACAACAAAATTTTAATTATAAATTGTTTTTCATTTATTACATAATTTATATAAAAATATACGTGTCCATAAAATATATTTAATTGATTAGTAGGAAAGATGTTTGACAAAATAAAAATGAAGTTTACTGAAAAGCAAATAATTAAGATTCTGATAATATTGCGGAAACAAAACAAGGATTACATTCTATGTCTAGGAGATTTCAATATAGATTTATTAAAACAGGTATGCAGTTACTAAATATAGGAAAAGGTTTTAAACTGAATCAGATTGTCACTGAACCAATTCGTATTACAGCTAACAGTAAAACATTTACTGATTTAATTTTCTGCTCAGAAGCATGATTATGAATACTTTTTAATCACTGAGATTCAACTAGTATACTGTAAATAGTAAATAAAATAAACCTGAGCCATTTCTTTATACTTTCCAAGATTATAAACATTTTAACAAAGACATGTTCACACTTATTGCTTCTGATTTTGAAATCATTTATTACATGAATAATGTTGATGATAAGGTTGGGCATTTCAACAACCTTTTTCTTTTAGTTTTTAATATTCATGCTTCTATAAAAACAGTTAAAATCTCGAAAAAACATGCTGGCTGGCTCGCTGATAATCTTCGTGATAAAAGCATTTTGAATATTATACGCAGTTGCGAAATTTAACTTATAAAACTATAAATTTAGAGAAGAAAGCGTACTTAGAGTTTAAAATGTTCAACGCAGAAAACTCCTTATGGAAAGAACTCAGGAATTTAGGCATTTATAACAAAAACCACTGTTCTAATGAGGTCCCTTACTCACTGTCTAACGTTGACCACATTAACAATTATTAATAGCTGTAGCGAAAATTTTACAATTCATAATGAACTTGCAATATTATGAAACACAAAAATTATATGATAACGATTTCTACAAAGTCTAAGGCAATGGGATGTGATCATATCAGTACTACAACAATTTTGAACAGTTGCGCGTACATCTTACAATTTTTTAGACATATTGTTACGCAGCACCCCTAGAAAAAGAAGTAGAATTATACTCATCGCAAGTACAAGTAAAAGAAGATAGAATAGTCCAGAATTGTGTGGAAAGAATATTCTAGATGACAGTTCAAGAAGCTTCGAGAAGCTATATAAGGATGATTAATATTATTAATTAGAAAGTTATTGTTAAAGTTGTATTGAATTAAATTGTGATACCAAAAACCAGTGTAACATTGGGGACAGCGGTAGGATACAAGATAAAAGTTCATGGTAAATACTAGATCCACTGAGTATGAAAAAGATATGAATACTTCAGGCCCACCAGCATGGTTTTTGAAGATGAAAGTGGAAAGAGTAAGGCGAGAAGAGGAAAAGGAAAGGCGTAGGAAGAAAGAAAAGGAGGAGAGAGTAAGGCAAGAGAAGGAGAAGAAAGAGAGGCGTAGAAAAGAAACGGTGGAAATTATGAATGGTTTGCTACAAATACAAGAAAACTTTAAGCAAGACGTAGGTCAGCTAAATAGCCGAGTAGATCTCTTAACGCAACAACAAGATAATTTAGAACAGCAGCAAGAGAATCTAAAAACTAATTTAGAGAATTTGAAAACGAATTTAGAACATCAACAAGAACAGGCCAGAGTAGAGTTGGAAAGTCAAACTAGAGAGTTAGAAAGAAAAATTCGTAGTCAATCTTCCGTAAGAAAAATTGAGGCTGAAAATACTACCTCATCTTTATCCATAACCGAACCAAGCCACACTCGAATCCCAGTTTCACAAAACTATACTTGCAAGACTCTTAAGCCACCCACGTTTGACGGTCAGACAACTTGAGAAACATATCGACTCCAATTTAAAGCTGCAGCTAGAGCCAATGGCTGGACCGAGAAAGAGATGGCGGCTTCATTGATAGTGTCACTGCGAGGTCAGGCAGTAACCGTTTTACAGTTACTTCCTCAAGAAGAAGCCAGTTATTCATCTCTCGTCCAAGCTTTGGAGACAAGATAAGGCCAGCAGCATTTGCAACGGGTATTCCAAAGCCAGCTAAAGGTCCGCAGTTAGAAACATAATGAGAGTCTACAGGAATTCGAGGCTGATATAAGAAGGTTGAATTATCTGGCCTATCTATAGGTGCCGAAAGATTTCCAAGAACAACTCGGAATACAAGCATTCATTGATGGACTACAAAATGTGGAAATGCAGCAAGTCCTTCGTCTACAACATCACAAGACGCTGAAGGAGAAACTGATTGCAGCTCAGGAATATGAAGCAATAAAACTCATATCCAAATCTTCTCGCGCAAAAGTGAGGGAAATTAAATCCCAGGAAAGTGAGGAAGCAAATACTAATGCTATTCACAAATCTTAAATATCCTACGAAATATGCAACGAAACAGCCAAAATGGAAGTAGGAGATGCTTCAATTGCGGAAGAATCGGACACCTTCAAAGAACCTGTAGAAGCATGGCTCATTCTATAAATCGAGAATCAGAGAATGAGACCGGAAAATCATATAGATCAATCTTTCTAAGCCCATCACTAAGACCAACAAGAATTAATTACAGCAGCTATGTAGTCTCCATAGCAACGCAGATATTCTCTTCGGGCAACCCCGTTTAGAAGAACAATGCTGGTATGGTAAAAGGCTCGAAGAATGAGTAGAACCGGTTGATAAAGTTGCTCTTTGGGCCACCACTATCAAGCCAGAGGGTGACGAAGGAGAAATCACCCATGAAAGTCTGAGACAAGGACAGAAGAAAGACAATGACTTGAAGGTTGTCCGAGAATGGCTTAAAAATAAAGTTACACCTACTTGGCAAGAGATAGCCAAATACAATAGAACTATAAAAGGCTACTGGACCCAGTGGGATTCCCTGTATCTTCACGATGGCCTATTGCACCGAAAGAGGGACAGCCCCAATGGAGTACATGTAGTCCGTCAAGTGATACTGCCGAGTTCACAGGTGAGTAAAGTATTGGAGGACCTTCATGGCAGCCATTCAGGAGGACACTTTGATACTAAAATGACACTGGCACGAGTTCAGGAAAGATTTTATTGGGTCAATTACCGACGGGATGTAAAAGATTGGTGTGAAAAATGTCATGTATGCAATGACAGGACAAAGGTCTATGGATTCGCTCGAGAACGACTGAAAGCCCACACCGATAAAGCAGAAGCTAGAATCGACAGGCGTGCCACAGATACACATTTTAAGAGGGGCGACAAGGTATGGCTGTGCAATCCCAAGCAGCGAGGACTTTGTCCAAAATCGCAACGGAACTGGGAAGGCCCCTACTCCATCCTTAAGGAAAATGAACGACCTGATCTGCCGCATTCAACTGTCATCGGGAAGTAAATTCAACGTAGTTGATTTCCAAGCCCACACCGATAAAGCAGAAGCTAGAATCGACAGGGGTGCCACAGATACACATTTTGAAAAATGCGACAAAGTATGGCTGTGCAATCCCAAGCAGCGAGGAGGACTTCGTCAGAAATCGCAGCGGAACTGGGAAGGCCCCTGCTCCGTCCTTAAGGAAAATCAATCAATCATTGGGAAGATAGCTCCATACCATGGTCCAGATCCTCCCCATTAGTTCCAACTAGGTTCCAGTAATTAAGTTATTCGAGGCGAATAACTAGAGAGGAGGGAGCAATGTTACGCAGCACCCTGCAGTAGCCTGCGGTTATTATAGGAAACGTACAGATAGAAAATGAAGTGGAATGTTATCGCCCTACAGTGTGTTGCGGTCTTCATAAGTAAAAGTACAAGTAAAAGAAGATAGAATAGTCCAGAATTGTATGGAAATGTCATTATCTGTCAAGAATATTCTAGATGACAGTTCAAGAAGGTTCGAAAAGGGTCAAGCAAGCTATATAAGGATAATCTTGACGTCAGTTTTCAGTTTGATGATAGACGTTACATGTTAATGTTATTAATTGGAAAGTTATTGTTAAAGTTGAATTGAGTTATTGTAAAAGTTGAATTGAAATAAATTGTGATACTTTAAAGCAGTGTAATAATATATTTAACTATTAAATAGAACACTCTACTTATCCGTCGGAATGGAAGCTGGCAGAAGCCATACCGATACCAAAATGTAACGAACCGCAAGAATTTAAATATCTTCATCCTGTTAGTTTATTATCTACTTTAACTAAATTTTTTTTAAAAGTGTTTGACAAG